CTTGACATTGTATGGCCAACCTCCGTTTGTGGTGGAGGGAACTATAAATATAGTGGTATTCTGTGTGTGAAATTAGTAACTATTCCTGGCAGAGATTGTGACTCTTAAAGGACTAAAGGCCATTTGGTAACAGTACACCCTCCCCTATACATCATTTAATTTATACCTCACCGTTACCTCACTCTAATCTATATGGACATTATGCATGTGTGCACATGTTGTTACCCTTTTGATATGATGACATCACAATGTTATGCTGCCACATGTTATGTTCTCATGCACTACTGTACTATGAATTATGAATGGATTTTTGTATTTGCCCTCTAAAAATGGTGAACAGAACACAGCCACATCGGTCGTGGTTGCAGTTTCCTGGGGACAGGCAGGAGAAGAGCACACAACACAGGGCTCTCCTCTTGCCAGTCACTGCAAGTTGGGTGGCTGAGCGGACCGTGGTTTGACAGGATTACTTTTGCTTCAAGGTAAAATAAATTATTCAAAAAATATTCTTCTCTAAAAGCAGACTTTAGTGAATATTCCTCTAGAGGAATTAACAGACTTTCTTTTGATATTTTTCTCCAAATGCTACAAGAACCTTTTTGACAGAATTCTTACGAAATTGTGGATATATTTTTCTCCTTGAACTAAAGACTTTTATTTTCAATTAATTCAAAGTGATTCAGGAAAAAGATGAGTCACACATCTCATCTGTAAAGACTCCAAGGTTATTATCTACTCCTTCAAATTACTAAAAAAAAACTGTTTATAATTGTGAATATTCTCCAATTAAATTCCAATGTTATAAAGAATTTAAGTTGACATTTCATCTAATTGTTGAATCTTTCTGCATATTAATACAAGCTGTTTAAATTCAAGTTCCACCTGATCAAAGTAATCAAGTTTTCTGCACAATCTCATAAAATATTAAAAGTGAAATTGAACCTCTCTAAAATTGTTAAAGTGACAGTTATTTTACGACGAGATCTTAAAGAGACACTTACTTATTCAAAATATTATTCAAAGTTTCAACTAAAGTTTGTTGAAATATTCAATTTAGTGACGAAATAAAGAGTTGAGTTTCAGTCTTTCCTTGAATACTGAAAAGCATAACACACATGGAGGGGCTGAGGAGGGCATAATGAGGCACATGTAGGACTGGGGTGGGGATCAGACACTTAAAGCGGCTCGGGAGGCCGGGTAAAACAAATGGAGGGGCTGGCAACAGGCTAAGACACATAGACGGTCTAGGGGGCAGGATAGGACAAATGGAGGGGCTAGGGGAAGAATGAGAAACACAGAGGGTCTTGGGGCAAAGACGAACATATGAGCCAGGGAAGTGGATAATGACACAGAGGGGCTGAGAAGGGGACAATGACACAAAGAGGGCTGATAAGGGGACAGAAACACACAGAGTGGCTGGGAAACGGGGAAAGAGACACACAGGCTGGGGGCAAAGACACACAGATACGCTAGAGAAGGGTATAATGACACTGAGGGTCTAAGAAGGGGACAGTGACACACTGGGGGGGCTGAGAAGGGGAAAGTGACACACAGAGGGGATGGGGACAGTGACACACGCTGAGGGCTAGGAAAGGGGCATTGCCACAGAGAGGGGCTGGGGAAGGAGACATTGACATACAGAGGAGCTGGGGAAGGGGACAGTCCTGCATAAAGGGGTTCTCGGGGAGAGAAATAGACACACCAAGGGGTTGGTGGGAAGTAAGAGACATAAGGGCCTGGAAAGAGTAAGAGACACACAAAGGGGCTAGAGGAAAGTAAGAGACACACAAGGGGAAAATGGTTGATAAAATACACTAAAGTGGTGGTGCAATACACAAAAAGGGTTAAGACATTGAACAGATATAATAAGAAACACATGGGGGGGTTAAAAAATCACACAGGTGAAGATGCACTTTTGGGGAGGATGCAACATGCATCTTTGTCTGAGTAGTCAAAACATTATTGTACAATAAAAATTGTCATTGCATTGCATGTAAAGAAAATAAAATAAAAAAGTACAAAGCAAGTTTAACATCATTGTTTGTATCTGTCTTTGTATATATGCACATATGGCAGTGTTTATATCTGTGTATCTAGATGTGTGGCAGTGTTTGCTTCTGTGTGTCTGTGTATCTGCAAATGTGGCAGTGTTTATATCTGTGCATCTGCGGCAGTGTTTGTATATATGTGTCTGTGTATTTGCATATGTGGCAGTGTTTGTATCTGTACATCTGCAGCAGTGTTTGTATATTTGTGTCTGTGTATCTGCATGTGTGTCAGTGTGTGTATCTGTGTATCTGCATGTATGTGTCAATTCTTGTATCTGCATGTGTGTCATTGTGTGTCTCTGTGTATCTAGATGTGTATCAGTGTTTGCTTCTGTGTTCCTGTGCATTTGCATGTGGTAGTGTTTGTATCTGTGTCCGTGTACCTGCATGTGTGGCAGTGTTTGTATCTGTGTATCTGCATGTGTCAGTGTTTTGTATCTGTATGTGTTTCAGTGTGTGTATCATGTCAGACGATCTCAACTTGATTCTTCTATTAAACTTTTGCATCAGGTTTTGCAACCCTTAGCATGCCCCGCTTTATGTGATAATGACTATGCACCTCCACTTCATGACATTGTTAAAAAGGAGCAGAGCACGGATGTCATTACAATTGATTACTGTGGATGCCCATGTATGTAACTATGATCATTCTTCTGAGAGGCATCTGGTACAGTCATGGCTGGGTGAACATGGTAAAGCACAGTACTCCTCTCAAAATGAATGGGGATCCTGATTAAGAATATAAGTGGCGAAAGTACTGGACCTACGTTTGTGCTTGGTGATGAGACCTTTACAAAAGTGCACATTTGTTACTATTAATTGTCTCTGTGGGCTGCCATGAGTTGTGCTGTTCTCAAAACAATGGTAGAACTAATGTAGAGAGCCTGGTGCAAATAATTATTTGGGCCCCCTCTAGCACAAAAGTAGCCAAAAGGTAGATCCCCACCTGTTGTACAACTCCCATGATTCTATGCCAACTGGAGATCTGCCATTTGTCCATCCTTGCTGGGTTGTATTTGTGAGCAGTGTTTGTGCATTTGAATGTTAGCATGTTTTTGTATAGAATATGTGTGTGCATGTATTTGTATGTACTGTTGCAATTAGAATGCAGTGGTGTACTTTTGTATAGTGTTTGCATTTGAAAGCAGGGGTGTGTTTGTATGTAGCGTTGGCTTTTAAATACATATGTGGTTTTATGTAATGTTTGTGTTTAACTGCTTTGTTGGTCTTTGATTGCTGAGATGTATGCCATACACACATACACTCCCACATACATACTTACACAGATATAGATACAAATTAACACACACATTCAGATACACACTGATACATAAGCACACACATAGACACACACTCAGAAACACACACTGACACACGCAGTCACCTTCAGAAACTCACTCTGACACATACACACAACTTGAAACACAGATACACACACAATGACGCACAGAGACACAGACTGACATATACAAACACTGACACACAAATACACATGTCACTTAACATTTGCAGCTCAAAATGCATGGGCTACCTGATGGGTACCTCCAGGGTCGGCCTTAGGGGTGTGCGAGCTGTGCGCCATGGACCAGGGGGCTCCCTTTGGCTGACACAGCTCACACATGGCCCGGCAGGGGCGGAGCTTCTTGTGCTTCTTGAGCTTCTTGTGCGGCGGGGGTGGGGTGGAGCAAATCTGATGGCGGGGCGGAGCTAAAAGTGCCAGATAACTGCTATAGGGGAAACAGGAAGGAGGCCCTGCTTCCCCAACAAACAGTCTCCATGAGCTGCACTGCATCCACAATGAACAGAGGTAACTATGTGTGATTGTCAGTGTGAGTGTGACTGTCTGTGTGTCTATGACTGTCTGCCTGTGTGTGTCTGTGTGTGTGTGTGTGACTGTCTGCCTGTGTGTGTCTGTGTGTGTGACTGCCTGCCTGTGTGTCTGTGGGGGTGTGTCTGACTGTCTGCCTGTGTGTGTGTGTGTGTGTGTGTGTGTCTGTGTATGACTGTCTGCCTGTGTGTGTGTCTGTGTGTGTATGACTGTCTGCCTGTGTGTCTGTGTGTGTGTGTGTGTGTGTGTGTGTCTGTCTGTCTGTGTGTGTGGCTGTCTGCCTGTGTGTGTGTGTGGCTGTCTGCCTCTGTGTATGTGTGTGGCTGTCTGTGTGTGTGTGTGTGTCTCTCTGCGTGTGGTTTTTTTGACTGCATGTAAGTATGTGTGTGGAAGACTGTATGTGTGTCTGTGTGTGTCTGTGTGTGTGTGTGTGTGTGTAAAACTGTATGTGTGGCTGTCTGCCTGTGTGTGTGTGTGGCTGTCTGCCTGTAATTGTGTGTGAGTGTGTTTATCTACCTGTAACTGTGTTACTGCCTGTGCCAGTGTGTTTCTGCCTGATCCTGTGTATGTGACTATCTGCCTGCGACTATATGCATGTGGTGGATTTGACAGTGTATATGTATAACTGTGTGCATCTAACTGTGCACATAACTCAAAAATATACACCTGCCTTCACACACAGGCCTAAATGCATGTTTTTATCTGAATTAAATAACCATCACACACAGCCAATAAACCCAGCACAAATATCACATACAACCAATACACGCATATCACACACTGTTAATACACCCATTACAAATATAACACACAGTCAACACATAGCATACATATCACACACAGTCATCACACCTATCACATACACAGACAACACAAACATTATATCATATATGGATGACGGGGGAGCGAAGGGGAGGGGCACTGTAAAGATTTTTTGCACAGGGCGCCTAAAGGCCTAAGGCCGGCCCTGGGTACCCCCACGTACAGGTCCGTGTACCCTCACCAGATGCACCAGGGGTTGTTCAGCCATTGAGTCAAGGTGATTGTAGGATGTGGATTAGAGGCATGTGCTTTAATCTCAGAACTCGGCTTTATGGGAAGATGGATCAGGTACAATTGGGAAGTAACTGGAAATATATATATGTAGCCATTTAGGTAATTTATGTTAAGATATGAGTTACAATCTCTTGTTACTTAGACCTCTTGTTAGGGATGTACACCAGGAATGGTTCAATTAATATGAATTCTCTACAATCTTAACATTTATCTACCACTCCACCTCACTGGTACAAGCTCATGTTCAAATCAAATAAGGAGGGGGGAAAAAGGCCTAATCATAAAACTGTCAGCAGATTAGCTAATATATCTCGCACTCAAAAATCCCTCACTAAGAATAAAAAGAACACAGACTTCTAATATGCAGCATCATCGTCAAAGCCTTTGACATACTCTGTCTGCTTAAAATTTAAGACATAAAATTCCTAAAACCACTAAATAAAATGTGGTTATTTATTAAACTTCTTCATGAGTGTGCATTAGCAACTGAAGCAGTTTTGTTTTTCTTCTCCTATACTTTTGTTGATTAATTTTTAATTTAAAAAAATCACATCTTTCTTTTAACACTATCTATATGTACATAAGTATAAACAAATTATTAAAACATGTTTGTTTTTTTAATGTTATCATATTTACTCCAATCTGCCACACCGTCTTGCATAAGATGGCTGGAATGGGCTGATGGTTGAGTAGTTGCTGATGGTATGTTACCCAAGTAAATATTATCTGAGGGGAGAACAGGTGGTGGATAGTTTGGAACTGATGAAGCGCCAGCTAGGTTGGCAGATTCCAAAGTCTCCAGTCTATTGTTTTTTGTTTTAATGAATGCTGCTACTGATGAAATTGTGGCATGTAGTTCTGCCAGACTGCATTGGGGCCTGATCTTAGAGTGTCTGTTTGGGATGTCATAAGCCAGAATAACTCCGGAATCCTTACTATGGCTGGTTATGCATTTTAATTCTGCTGTGATTATTGGGATTGTCCAGAGCCTGTTGGAACTGGGGCTTGCTGAATCTCCTTGACTGGACGGTGAGCTGACTCTAGTCGGAGTACTAGGCAGAGAAAAGTCATCTGCTTGGCCTGATTTGTTTGACATGCTAAAGAAACTAAATTGGGACAGACGTGTAGTGAGTAGCGATTACTACATTATTTTAAAGAAATAGTGCAAACTGACTGGCTAAATTAGTGCCAAATGGTGAAATATATTACTAGTTGGTGACAAGTGAGGCCCTACTAGTTGCCAAATGCAAGAGAGCCTCTGTCTATAAAATTTGCCCAAGGGGCGTTGAGGCCACAAGATGTTGTGGCAGTGCATTGATCTCTCGATGACGAGACTATACTAATTGCGAGGCAAAAACTATGGATTGGGCCAATGGGCAAAACTACCTCCCAGTATGGATGGGAGTTGGCCTTGTGGCCCCACTAAACTAAGGCATAGAAGTTTTCTCTATTGCGTGTATATTGATACCAACTTTAGCCAGTTAACCTACTTAAGCCAATCTCCCACTCTGAGCAGCACTATGCCCTCACACGCAAACATTACTCTTGTGAGAGAGATCTGGAGAGTGAAAGTTGGATGGTGATTGGGTTTCCCTCAGGCTCTCACTTATAGCAAGCACATGTACCCTACGACACTAGCCCACCTAGGCCGAAGGCCATCAGGGGCAAATGCCTCCCGCATCGTCCACACACACATCTTCCATGTTAAAATTAGTACAGGACCTACTGATATTGGGGGAGTGTTAAGTAGTTGTGGGCATAACACAATATGGCCATAGAGTGAAACTGAATCTCCAAATTTGTTTGCTAAGATAGGTGATTTTAAGTAGCCTTGTCAAATTTAAAGGTGTATTTCTGATTTTGTGTGTGAGCTGTTCCTTTACTTGTATTTTGTATGGAAATAATGCATACAATTATTACCACTTGCAAAGCTACGTATCACCAGCAAAAATCTAAAAAAAAAAGGAAAAGAGGAAGGGAAAAAGAAAAACATTTATAGCATTATGGAAATATTATATTCATACCTTAGATGTATCTTTACAAATGACATAAAGAACCACTTTAGAATATACTGCATGGGACTCGGCTGAAATAGTGTCTGGCACTTCAAATTTAACATCTAGTTCAACAGAGGTATATATCTTTCCCTTATTAAGCTTTCTAAGAATTTTGTACTGTTCTTGAGAGATGATACCTAATTATCCATTGTGAAGAGTTCTATTTTCTTTTCTTTTTGTTTTTCACTGAACTGGACACCACATGTTTCTTTTCGAATGACCAAGGCTGGACACAGATATCAGTTTTACAATAAATGGTGGGATGTTTCATTCTGTTGGTACTGTTATAACCGTACTGACTGAGAATTATTCATGTCTTTGTTATGTTTGACTAATTATGTGTTTTGTTTTACTTATGTTTTATTGTTAAATTAAAAAAATGTAAATGTTTAAAATGTACTTTTGACATTGGCATTGTGTCTGTATCATGACTGACAGTGGCATACACACAATCCATGTGGCCCCAGTGCGAAACTGATCCATGCCCCCCCCCTCCCTGGATAGACACACAAACTGACACATACATAGAGACACATACATACACACAGACACATATACATACAGAGACACAGACAGACACACATACGTATGAAGACATACATACAGACAGACACACACATACATACAGACATACAGACAGACAGGCACACATACATACATACATACAGACAGACACACAGACACATACATGCAGACACACACAGACACATACACACACACATACAGAAACATACACACATATATACAGACAGACACACCCACACACATACATACAAACAAAAACACATATATACAAAATGTTTAAGTCACCCTCCTGTTTCCTACATTTTAGGTGCAGGAAGGTGACATTCCCTGGGGTCCAGTGGTGGCTGAGGCTGATGGGAGTCAGAGTTCCCACTCTGCCTCCCTATCCTTTCTCCCACGTGGGCTCTCGCTGATAACTGGGAGGAGTGACGAGCAGTAACTTCCTCCCAACTGTGATGCCACAGCGCTGACCAGGGCCCCCTGGAAATTCATCTACCGCCGGGGCAGCACGTTCAAGGGGCCCAGCGGGTGGCCCATGCTGTTAGGGCCACCCAATGGGCCCCTTGAATGTGCGGCTCCGGCGGTTTGCACACATGGCGGCAGGCACCTGGTCGAGGGGTCAGCAGGGTGACCAGGCCCCCTAGAGTGACGGGCCCAGTCGCAGCTGCGACCCCTGCAACCTCTGCGACCGCGGTATGCACGCCACTGATGACTGATTTCCTGTTGCTGATACATACTTGATAAGTATATAGTATATTGCATTCACAATACAAATGTTTTTAAAAATAGACCAACAAACAAAAGCAAGATAACATGCCATTACCCATTTTCCCTGTTATAGGAGGATATGCTCAGTTATTTGACAAAATAAAAAATTACTTTCACTTGCATAATAATGTAGTCAGATACAAGTTTATATGTGTACTGCACAGAAGCTGTAACATGTTTAATGGCCAAAATGAAAGTTTAAATAACCACATATATTATTTATAATTATTGAATCATTTTCTCTGAGCAGTTTAGCAAAGGGCAAACTGAGTTGTCACATGGTGTGGCGAAACCAACCTCGCCACCAGGCATTGAAGAAGCCTGTTTGCCCGCCTCCTGCCTGCTGACTATGGCCCCTGGGAGATTTGGCCCTTTAAATACAGTATTTGGGCATTTTGTATTTTATTATGCTGCTGCTGGCCCTTTAAGAACCATCTGGGGAAATTCTCTGACTTTTGGGAACAATTCTCCTTTAAGACTGTGTCCCCCTAATATACTTTGTTTGTGCCCTTTTCCGATTTGGTTCAGTAAATGGGACTTACTGAACCAAGTACCACACAGGCGGACCACCCAGAAGTGGAAGTGTGCAGGCAATTTACCTCCCAGGGTGGGAGCCTGCTGTAAGTAAATTGCCGACCGCTGGGTGGCCGCCGTTCGCACAAATGAACACATGGCGGTGCCATCTTTTTTCATTCAAATGCGGTCAGCGTGTGTGGAGCCAAATTCATGGAACTGAAATCGGCTACACAGTTCCACGAACGCCGCTGATCCTTACCTTCTCCTACACTGAATTTTCAGCTGCAATGGGACTTAGTCATTTTTTCAGAGTTAAATTGACCGACCGCACAGCCCAAATCTATGGAACTGTTTTGGGCATGAAAATGTGCTTGCGGTCGGTCATAAAAGGACTTCCAGCTAACTTTTTAACCCCTGGATGGAATTGGCTGAATTTTGACTATGTTTATAATTAAAGTGTGCTGAATAATAATTTGTCATGAAGATTGAAAGCATATTTTTAAAGTTACAGTACATGTGTAAAAACTGTATTTCTCTGCCTGTGATAATTACATTAACCCATTGTGTAAGGTAATTGTATCACAGGCAGAGGGGAGGATTTTGTATGGGAGTGTCTGTGGGTATTGTACGTATTGGTTGTTCTGCAAAACCCTGTGGGCAGTACTGTGCGTGTAAAATGTGCATTAAAAGCTTCAGTTCTACTTCACCCTCAATTTGGAGTGCCGTCTCTTATTGGGGGAATCTGCTACAAGGGATTGCTATGCTAGTCATACTCTCTTGCTATATTTACTGCTAAGCTCTTGTAAGAGCTTGTTCCTGTTTTGCTCTCTGAAGGAGTCTACGGTGGTTATGGTGTCTGCTGGAGTGCTGGAAACCCTCAGGAAGCGCTAGGAGCATCCTTCAACGGAGGTACCCAGTCGGGGTGCCAGGTGATCCGTTACACATGGCATTGTAGATAAATAAATAATCAGCAGTGTGATAATTTGGGAGGCACAATGTTTTTCTTCCCTCTGCTCCCATCTTTAACCAAGCGTAATATTCAAGGTAAAAAACAAGCGTGATATTCTGAACTAAAATTTGAATCCCATTTTAAGAGCTTTTACATCCAGGCCTATCTGCTTGGCCTCCTGTTTCCAAAAACAAAAGAGGGACAACAGAGGGGATTCTGCAACAAGCTCAAGATGATTACATGTCACCCCGTGAATATAGCACACTATGTGACCACTTCATCTTCCACACCAATGTCAAAAATGTTTAATCCTACTGTGGCTGGGTAATTTTGAAGATCCACAAGTAGTTGGAGAAATTTCAAAATCAGACTTTTCAGAATCATGGACACCAGGTAACAAAACTAATTAAATATCATCTTGAAACTTAAAGGAAAGCTATAGGGTCAGGAATACAAACATGTATATCTGGCTGTATAGTGTTAAAAACACTATTTAAGTAGTCCACCCCCTTTGCCCCCCTTAAAAAAGGTAAAATCTGACCTGCACATTGTGCAGCGCTGACCCAGGAAGCACCTCTAGAGATCGTCTGACTGTCACGGTGACGGGAGGCGTCCCTATACAGCAATGTAAACACTTACATTAAGCTTTAGTTGTTCTGGTGACTATAATGTCCTTTTAAGCTTCAGCAAATTAATGTATTTGCATACATACAAGCATATATTCTAAGTATAGTAAAATATATATATTGTTTGTGATTTGTTATAATTCTTCTTGTTTTGATCATTTGATTTAGATTCCTCTTGAATGGCTGTCAGATAGCATACAGCCAACAGTCTTTGTGAGGCCAAGCTCTCTAATCTGGTCAAAACAACTATCCATAAAAAAGGTCTTCACATTTTTTTCACAGGTATCACATGGTGACACGTGTGGAGGTCCCCAGGGGGAGCAGATAGGGAGATATACTTACCTTTAGCTGTCCTAAGCGCCCCCATCTTCTTGTTGCCATACATCTTCTGCCATCATCACTATTGTACTTTCAAGCATACAAATACAAAATGGGATTTATGGAGGATCACACAAGACTGCAGAATCTTCCATAGATAATCTTGCACATTCATAATAAAGTGTCATAAGATCTATAGTGCATCCTACAGTATTTGTGAATGACTGCTGATGGGAAATGGCATGGTAAACTATAAACATTATATATAATATATATAAACAAAGTAACACAAAAAAGGTGTACTAGCACTTTGTGTATGAATCTCAGTGACCACAGGTAAATGAAAGTAAACAATTAAATAAATATGCAGCCACTCTAAAAATGTAGTATCCTTTTAGCACCAAATCAAAAATACATACAATAAATAAAGATAAAGTGCACAACATGATGATTAAAAATACCCCTTTAATTTCCTTACTTTACCAGGGATGATCTGAATTCATGTAAAACCAAACAGAGGAAATACATTATAGCATAACAAATTATAAGAGGTACTGATCATACACCAAATAAATGGACCACTCACGTGGTACAGATCCATGACCAGGCTCTGTATAAATTGCCCAACGGTCCCTTCATGGACTTGAATAAAAGAACTTCTCAATTAGTGTAAAACAGCAGGATCCACTTGAAATATATTTATTTGACAAATATAAATACAGATCAAGGACTATAAAAATCCATACTTGTGTCTTTGCATTTAGTTTATATTAATTGAAGCACAGCACATTAAGTGCCTTCAGGTGCTCAATTTTGGTTTCCATATTCCAATGCAATGTTATCACTTCTAGTATCAAAGCCAGAACAGATACAGTTCATAATCGAATTAATATTGTTCAGTATTTATATGGCCACTCTGTTATACAAATGGTGATCTCTATATAAAGTTGGTCCTGTTTTTACTGTTACACAAATTGTGCAGGCCAATATACGGCCTGATAATTTTACATTTTGTCATACGGCTTTCCAGTTGTTTTATATCACAATTTATCTGTATTGTAGGTATTAGAGCTAGTAAACTACATGATTAGTTTCATAGCACGATACATGAAATTCGGTCAATATCAGTTGATCTTTACAATTTTCATTCATTATATTTCATAATCATTTCTTATGTGTTTTTATGAAAGTTTACTGTCTATAATTACGTTACCTTGATAATGCTTATGACAAACAATGTACATAAATATAGCATTGGTGCTGGCCTTGCTACATCATGTTGTCGTTATTGTTGTATGCTTATCACCTAAATCCGTGTTTGTATAATCCAGGTTGGTGCTGTTCAGGTTCCGATCCAGCATGTTCTATGCATATGAATTATTTGAAGTCCAAATGGTTCTCACAAATATGTTTTTTTTTTTTTACCTAGATCTAAATAATTGAGCCCTGACCATCAATAAGAACACTGGTCCCGTTTGAATAGTATTCCAGTAATTTACTGAGGTCCATTGTATCCCGGTTCCAGTAATTTAGGGGTAGGTTGGTATGTTCATTTTTCCAATCAAGTCACATAATCATTTTTTATATATACTCTCCCAATAATTTCCTATGTATTATGTAACTTTATATTTATGTTATATATTAGATTCACCATCCTGTACTCTGATGAGGAATTTTAACAAAATTCATGTATTATGTCTGTTTTAATTACACCAGGTGGGTCTAGCAGAATCCCGAGGTATAATTAAATGATGGTTATATGTAGTCATTTAGGTTTCTCTAACCTTCTCGAATTCATCTATACTCCATACTTTTTACACTTCCATCCAAGGTATGTGATTCCTAACTATTGATTTCATGTATCTTGACTAAAATGAATCTCTACATAATCCCTACATATATCTGGTACATACACTAGGACCTGCTAAAACAATCTTCAGGCATTCAAGAGATGATTGTGTTGTTTGATCAGAGGCACTACAACCGGCTCCAGGCACAGGTAAATTCTGAGTTTTGACTTGTGGGCTTCCAGATTATTGTGTATTCAGTGAAATATAACGGTTATGCCTGGAGCTCACATGATACATGTTCAACCACCATGAAGCCCAAAGTCCGTCCCCTCCTTTTCCTTTTTCTTTCCCTATCCATTTCCCTAGATTTTTGTGGTAGGGGTAAGACACATAATTTGCATACAACAGACAAGTGTCAAGATAATACAACCATTTTACAATAACATATCATCTATGTCTTGGATTGTTAGACATTGTTATGGTGCATCATAGTAACCATAGTAAATCCTGAATCCATAACAGTATAAACAAGATATAAAATGTCCAAGGGACACTAGAATAGAGCTCTTCTAGTTATTATATCAACATATATAGATAAATATGTCTACATCTAATCTAATATGCAAAATATTGTATTATAGCAGCCTTTTGCATCAACATGGGCACTGTTAAGGCCATGGAGTGGTGGTACAGTACTATAAACAGGATCAAGTACTATAAAAAAAAACTTGCAACTAAACAAAAAAACTATGCCCTTTTACAAAGTATGTATGTCACTGGGTAATCAGAATTACAGAATGTTGGAATATTGAACAATATATAGCAAGACAAATGCAAGCAGTATAAGTGACTTTGAGAGTTAGTCGACATTCCAATCCATTTACATTTTTAACAATAATTATGCAACCATAAACACAACTGAAAGAAAGTGGGTCCTCTATATGTGTCACATCTCCTCATCCTTCAATCAACTCCAAATTCTGCTTCCTTCCCTCCCCTCCTGAAGGGCAGGTGGGTCCATCGGCGTTAACCATTAGATAAAGACAAAGTGTTGTGTGTACCTGGGAGAACAGATAAGTTGATCTGGTCGAGAAGCCGGTGGTTAAGGAGGACTCAGAACCTGTCCACTCATGTAGATGTGTGTATTAAAGCCACAAACATAAAGGATGGAATGAAAGACTAAAATCAACTAAAATTGAAAAAAAATCCAAAGAATGGCATGGGATTATAGATAAATGATATCCATCGGTAAATGGTTTTAAGGGGTCACTACCTGCCACCACCCCTGCCTAGAACCATGCAGTTTATTCCAGGGTGGTTCTCACCCAGGACCATAAAGAATCATCCAGAGTAAGAATATATGGTCTTCAAGTCAAAACAAATTTCCTGACACGGAGCTCTTTATTGGTTAGTGTGTTTAGCCAATCTATTTTAAATATGAAATTAAGATTGATTAAGAATAATTGTAAGGTGAGTGCATTCGGCTGGATTCATACTTGAAGGGTAGTTTTGCATCCAACTACTGTTAAAAATGTTTATTAGATATGGGTTGACCTGGTAAGGGTCCAAATAGCACAAATTCAAGTGAGAGTGGCAAAATTGGCATGCTGTCAGTATCTAAATATAGTTTCAATGCATGATTAGTGTGCACTCTTACAGACAGTGATACAGATCTGCTCTTGCATGTGTACATTTGAAACAGGATGCAGTTTCTCTGAAGTTGGTATTGGTAATAGTAAGCATAGTGGAAGGTTTTAAGGAACATCAATATACGAAACCATGGGCAATGTTTGACTGCTATGGCCTATATGCCTCTATCGGGTTTGGACATAAGAATGATTCGGGCTTGATTATGGGCTACCCTCGGTAGGTCTTCCAAATGTATTTTATTGAATAGGTTTTTGAGTGGGACTAATTTGATGTTTCAAAGTTTTATAATATTCTGTGGTAAAGCTGTAAGGGCCTGGTGTTTTCCAGGTTTTAAGGTACTTTATTGCTATATGAATTTCTCTGTCAAATATAAGTTCATCAAGAAGCTCTCAGGAGTCCTCATGCAGCTGGGGAAGGTTAAGGCTCTTAAAAAAAGCTATATTTTGGTCATGGTCATGGTTGCTGGTAATAATGATAAAAAAAATTATTGATGGCTACATGGGCTACATCTATGTCCCTCTGGAGAGGTGATGGGTTTGAATTTTGACCTAGACTAATCAAGTCAATAGTCAAAAAAATTTTTTTTGTAGGTTAAAGGAACACACCAGCCACCAAAACAACTTAATCTAAATCAAGTAATTACGGTGCCAGGAGGCCCCCAGACGCACTATTACCTCAAGGGATTAAATTGTGTTTTAAACAGTTTAACCCCAAAGCTGCCTTTAGTGAAGCCAAACTCAGTTCATTCTCTGGCAGCATTTGGATTCTGAAATGTCACTTGCAGGAAGCGTGGAGTGCCGCCAGGAAGGGGCACCTCTGATTGACTGAGAACTGTCAGCTGATGCTCTCAGGCAATAAGTGACTCCCCATTCTCAAAACTGACTTGGAAAATGTACTTTTCTTTACAAGCTAGTTTAGTGAATAAAAAGTCATTGATTGGTTGAGAGCATCTGCTGACCACTCTCATCCATCCGGTGGTACTGCACGCTTTCTGTGATGCTTATACTGTCCCTTTAAGAGTTATTGAGTTATAAACATACAGTAGAAAAGCATAAGTACATGTTCATATCAAGTGAAAATAAAATGCTTCTTGGGTGATGGGGTTCACCTCCTTGACAGGCATTTGAAAATATATTTAATTATGCATATGAGCAAACTGCAAAGGAAATTGGTTCCATGTCATCGTAAAATATTTTATCCTTTTTGTAATGCTGGGAAATGAGGCATTCCACTAGGAGGGAGCTTATAGCTTTGACTATAGCGGAATTGAAGTTTATTTTTCTCCACTATATTTTGTTACAATTTGGAGTTTAATGAATGAACCCCTCTGCATTGTTTAAACTGCTATTACCTGCCAACTGTGCATTAGCTGAGGTAGAAGGATGAAGGGCTCTCTCACAGTTAATAGGGCTTAAAGGTTTTTATTATAGTGTAGTATTAGGGTTTACAGCACTCTTAACACAACAGTAGAAAGCAATGCTGAATGCAGTAAATATTGTGCATTCCTATTGCGGCTCCGTTAATTAGCTAGGACTGGTGACATGGTTGAGGTAATATAGCCTTGATTTTTGCTAGAGCTTGAGTTATTCTGAAAAATGCAGGCACTACTGCAAACCCTGTCAGATTTGTATATTTGAATGAGACAGCAGGCACACATGGCCTAGTAAATATAGCATTACATTATAACCGTAACACCCAAAAGCTTTATTTATACCACTTATCCAATCATTGCAGGGCCGGATTTACATCTCAAGTTACGTCATAGAATTCTCAGGTCACCTTACCTCTCATCAAAAATTTTGGCTCCTTAGATTGAAGGACATGTAGATATCTCGTTCCAACATACAACAAATAAACATGCAATTGCCTGTAACCATATGAAAATAAACCTAAAAAGTAAAAATATGCAAATGTGTAGTCAGGGTAGGTGCCCCTTATTGACAGGCAGTTGCCTACTCTTCGAATTTGAAAATCCAGTCCTGGTGTTACCCCATATTTTCTATTTATTTTTTATAGGCCAGTAAACATTTTCACTGTAAGTCAAGTGTAACTATGTTACAACAATACCATGGGTATTTTTTTCCCTGCCTAAACAGGCAAACTCAGCAAACCGTAGCTGAGATTTTGAAATATATATATATATAAAAAATCCTATTTAGTGACAGAACATGTACATAGAAAGTGTACATTCTGAATTTAAAATACACTGCAAAATCAGTAGTTTAAAAATTCTATTCTCTAAAAAAAAGTATTTAGCATTCTTAAAGAAGTTTCTTTGTTAATCATCTGACACTTTGAGTGCTGGAGGGATGTAAAACACATTGTAAATCTATTGTTCACTTCTCTGACAGTCAAAGAGTTAATAAACTCTGTTCCTCATTTTTAGCACTTTCAGACAATTTTAACAACACAGGACATGTAAAAATAGGGAATGTCTCCCTTACAGGAATCCTAATGTCTGAAATCCTTGCTCAATTTCTTTTATATGCAGACAAATACTGGATGCTGTATCTACATGATTCAGCCAAGTGTCTTCAGTCTTTACGAATAACAATTAAATCACGGACACTTCTCCATTTAGAAAATGGTCTCTAATTACACCTGAGAGGGATTAATTTCCTTCCTTCCAGACTCAATTCAAGATTTTCTCTCTCCCTGTTTTTACTATTCAGCTGTGCAAACTCTGATTTTACATCAAACAAGTTTGTTCCCATATGTAGTATAAACCTACTCCATGTAAATCTTAATATAAGCACAGGACTAAACAGCACAAATGCCATATATTACAATACAATTAATTGTTCACTTTTTTATGTTTAATGAAATAGTTACTTTATAAAATGCATGGCATACAATTTATTTATGTAAGTATTTTTTTATTAAAAAATGTTTATATATCCTACTTTAGTTCAGCATGCATACATACAGAGGACATGTAGCCATAATGTCATATTACACAACAAATAAGTCAAAGGTACATAAGTACAGTATAGCCATATAATCATGAACTGGAACAAGGGTTTTAAGGTATAAGAACATCAGGTAAAGAAAGCGGTGCTAATGAAACACATAAAAAGTAAACAAGCATTATTTACACACTGATTGCAGTAGCAGACGATATGTGTATAAACCACAGGAGAGTGCCCAGCTATATGTGTGAACAAGATATATATCATTGTGTTGAACTTTAATCATCAGACTGAGGGCCCAGAATATAGGATTGGAAAACCATAGGTAGAGGATAGTCACCCAGAAAAGGTAGGGGTGTTACCATTGGGAAGGAACTTTGGTAGGGGAAACTGTACCAGCCCAAAACTGGAAATGAGCCATCACCGTAATTCCACAGACCGAGACACCAAAGGTTCTGTAGAGGACACAATGAGCTGGCTCCAGTGTCTTTGGCGTTTCCCCTGAATAACCCCCCACAGGTGTGGATTGTGTAATTGGGATTTCCCAAAATGACTCTGCACCACGGGTAGGCTTCACTGTGGGGTACACTACATAATTTAGCAATTTACGCCAATTACATCTTAGACTTCCCTTCTTATTGGTTCTCATTCCCGTCCTCAAGGTAAGTAACACATTCACTAAGCCGAGCATCAAGTTAGCCAACCCAGAATTCCGTACAAAGCAAATAAAATTCTGCCAAAATATCTCCTTGCTTGATGCCTGGTGCTAAGGTGTTCAGCCATCCTGCTTGCTTTTTTACTAAGAAGATTGACTCATCCGCACACCCTGGGCCGGTGTGGTTGTGCACTGGTCACAGGGCAGCCGAGTTCCGTGGAGTGACAGTCCCAGTTGCAGCTGCAATCCCTGCAACCGTGGCAGTCACGCTACTGCCTGGTACTTACTGGCTAAGGCTGATAGGAGATATAGTTACTGGAGGTGTAAGCAATGTTTTCAATGGGCAGTTATTATGCAATGACACAGTAAGCTATTATTAAATAAACAAATGACTAGAAGTGGAATAAACTTAATTATTAAATAAACAAATGCCAAACAGTGGAATAAACTGACACTCTAGTACTGTAATTTAGATTTTCTAAGAGTGAGAAAAGTCTGGTTGTCACTCTCAGACCACAAGGGATAGTTAAACCATGAGTAGTTAAGCTTATGATGTAAACCATGAATCCCACCTCTAGGCTGTAATGGCAAATTACAGAGCTCTACTTTGACAAGACCTAGGTAATGGACCAGTCAAGGGCAGGCTACATTTAGCTTGACAAGAACAAATAATTAGCCTGTCTGTGCAAAAAACCTCTGTGCAAAACGCCGCTCTGCACTAATCAGCATCTCCTCATAGACTCAATGCATATCTATGGGGAAAGTTCAGCGTCTCTATAGAGAATGTCAGTGCCGCACAATGCAGGAAGCACCTCTATTGGCCGTCTGTGTGACGGCAACCAGGGGAGGATCCAGAACACAATCTCAGGGCACTGGCAGATTACTTAAAAAAACAATCGAGGCACAATAACCACTTCAGTTCTATGTAGTGGTTATGGTGTCAGGAATGCCATTGTGCCCTCCCAGAGTAAGTAGTCAAACCATTTAAAAACAGTTTGACAACTTACCTGGGGTCTGCCTGGTTTGGGGCAGTAGTGTGTGTGTGTGTGAGGAGTGATGTGTGTTTGAGGAGTGACGTGTGTGTGAGGGGTGAAGTGTGTGTGCATGTGAGGGAGGCATTGTGTGTAAGGGGGGCATTGTGTGTGAGGGGGCAGTGTGTGAGAGTGTCAGTGCTTGTGTGTGTGAGTGGTGTAGTGTGTGTGACGGGTGTAGTATGTGTATGTGTGGGGCAGTGTGTGTTAGGGGTGTAGTGTGTGAATAGTGAAGTGTGTGTGTGTTGGGTGTAGAGTGTGTGTGAGGGATGCAGTGTGTGTGTATGGGGTGCAGTGTGTGTGTGTGTGTGAGGGGTGCAGTGTGTGAGGGGGCAATTTGCGTATGAGGGGCAGTGTCTGTTTTGGGACAGTATGTATGAGAGAGGCAGTGTGTGTATGGGGGGCAGTGTGTGTGTGTATGGGGGTGCATTGTGTGATTATGGGGCAGTGTGTGTGAGGGGTACAGTGTGTGTGTATGGGGGGAAGTGTGTGTATGGGGGTGCAGTGTGTGTGTGTGTGTGAGAGAGAGAGAGAGGGGTGCAGTGTGTGTGTTTATGGGAGGGCAGTGTGTGTGTGTGGTGCAGTGTGTGACGGTGTAAGGTGTTATTGTTTGTGTGAGGGGTAGGGGGGCAGAATAAAGATAATATATATATATATATATATATTTTTTTTTTAAATTAAAATAAATATAGTTTATATCCCCCCCCCCTTCTTACCTGTGACCCTGGAAGGGGGACAGTCCTTCCAACTCCCTGGCAGTCCTCAGCTCAGACTAGAGTTCACTCTCACGAGAACGGAGCATTGCCATAGTAACCGTGGCAACACTCCAAGCTCATGAGAGGAGAACCTGGCAGAGCTGCAGGTAAGAGCTCCTCTCTCTCTCCCCCGTTGGCTACCCTGTGAGGTGCCTGTGGGGCAGTGAGGGAGATCTATGAAGGCAAACAGCAGGGCCGGCATTTGGATTGTGCCAGCCCTGCATGTGCCAGCATGGGAGACCCTCGGCCTCACTTTTTCCTTAGTTGGGAGCAATTGCCCTGTTGCCCCCTCCCTGGTTCCGCCACTGACGGCAACTGGCGGTGTCCCTAGGGAGTGATGTAAACACTACCTTTTCTATGAAAAGGCAGAGTTTACATTAAAAAGCTTGCAGGAACATGCTATACTCTACAAAACCACTACATTAAGCTGTAGTTATTCTAGTGACTATCGTGTCCCTTTAATTATATCTATATATATATTGAATATTCAGATTTTTGCAAAATAGAATCCAAGACTTTTTTTTTTTAACAAACAATCTATAGCATTTGATAAGACAACCTATTTGGTTGGACAATTCTACATCTTACTTGTTCTTACTGTAATTGTTACTCATTAGCTGTAAGTGAAAACGTTTTTTTCTAGTCTCAATAGGTGACATCTTATCTGTTGTATATTCCTGCTAATAAACAGGTCAGAACATATATGTTTGTACTGACCCAATATATATTTGTATAGTTATCATATCCCCAAATGCATTTTTTCGAGCCTTTCTTCATCATAGATATTTTCCATCCCCCCTATTAATTTTGTTGCTTGTCTCTGCACTTTTTCTAGTTTTACCCCAAATTATATTTTGATACCATGAATCAGGAACACCATCAGGGCATGACAACCTTGACAATTGTCACGGGCCCCACGTGTATCAGCGGAACTGCCGCCGGTGCATCTGCACTGGGGCCCACACGCTGATGGGGCCCATCAGGTGGCCCAAGCATTTAGAGCCACCCAATGGGCCCTATTATCTTTAGGGGCCCGGTCAGCGCTGTAATAGCGCGACCGGGCCCCTTTAAAAAAAAAAATACAGCTGGAAGCAAGTGCTGCTGGGAGGAAGTGACGTCCGGTCACTTCCTCCCACTTTACTCCGCGTGGGAAGGAGGAGAGAAAGGCCATGAGGAGAGGCAGCCGACTCACATCATCCCCAGCCACCCTCCTGCGACTAAATGGTAAGGAAGAGAGGAGGGTGGCTGAAAATGAGGTGTGTGTATGTATGCCAGTGTATGTGTGTATGCCAGTGTGTGTGTGTGTGTGTGTGTGTGTGTATATGCCAGTGTATGTGTGTATACCAGAGTGTATATGCCAGTGTGTGTGTGTGTGTATGTATGCCAGTGTATGTGTGTATGCAGTGTGTGTGTGTGTGTATGTATGCCAGTGTATGTGTGTATGCCAGTGTATGTATGCCAGTGTGTGTGTGTATGCCAGTGTATGTATGCCAGTGTATGTGTGTATGTCAGTGTATGTATGCCAGTGTGTGTGTATGCCAGTGTATGTGTGTATGCCAGTGTATATATAGAAATGTATTACCATTTGTACAGATGGATACAAAACAAAGCTGGCTATAAATCTTCCAAAACACTATTTATCTGACTGCAACTGATGGACATTATTTTTTTAAATGATGTTATATTTGTATTCCTGGACCCAGCAGCTGATATACCAAAGTGCCAAGATGCCATGTCCATTGTTTAACTGCTGGAGTTAACCCTGCTGATCATAGGAGGTATCTTTCCGCTCCTCACTCAGAGAAAGCATTGGCTGGTAGGTTATTTTGGAGACTGTAAATATGTATGTATGCCAGTGTATATATGTATGCCAGTGTATGTGTGTATGCCAGTGTATGTGTGTGTGTATGTATGTATGCTTGTCAGTATGTATGTATGTATATCAGTATGCAGTATGTGTATGTATATGTGTTTGTCAATATGTATGTCTGCATGTATGTGTGTGTGTGTGTCAGTATCTCCCTATGCACGTGTGTATGTCTGTTTCAGTATTTGTATCTTTTAGTGTGTGTGTATTCCTGTGGGCGGGTTTTGGAGGTGGGCCCTGTGGGCGGGCTTGAAGGGGGGCCCAGACCTTGAGCTGTGTTAGGGGCCCCAGAATTTCCTGATGGCAGCCCTGCCATGAATCAATACCCCTTTTTATACACCTTGCTAACCTTTGCAATGGCAGACCAGCCATTTAATGTTATTCATACTTCAACCCTGTTTAATGTATAGGTGACTTGTGGGCTCCTTGTTACAAAATACATGACTTTGCATTTATCTGTATTGAATCTCATCTGCCATTTGCCTACCTAGTTCCACAAATTATCCAAGTCCCATAAATGATATAATTATTATGTTCAGATTGTACTATCTTGACTAGTTTTGTATCTTCTGCAAACACAGACGCATGACTTTCAATGCCCACTTACAGATCATGCTTGAGAAAAGTCTCTGACTGGGAGCAGAAATGTTGCCTCTGTTTGCACTAAAAAAATCTGCCTTTGGATTTAAACCTTTGAGTGTCCAGGCAGCTTTCAATTCTCACTGGTTATGTTTCATTAACCCTTACCTCTCAAATATCCTGTGTAGTGATTTCCAGAACCCGCATTTCCAGAATCCGCATTAACTGCAAAAGGGGGCTTAGCAAATAGCCACTGTATGCTGGGCAGAGTGATGGCTCCATATGCCAGCCTTTCTACCATGCTTTATTTGGCATAATCAAGGTAATGTGTATATATTTAAGCTCTGTGTCCTATATGTATAGCCTATATTAATTTTAGCAATGCCATTTTGACCTATTACTCCTGCTTAATGAACAGATTTTGTCACTATTGCCTGTGTGTATCCTATTTAACAACACTACAAAATAGGTTGGTGCTATATAAAAAAAAGACGCAAGACATGAATAGAATGGATGTAAAACCCTAATGTTATTCACTTCATCTGAAAGTGGTTTTAATGTTGTGTCTGGGTGGGTTTGCCTCTTCTCTATCTCTGCAGAATAAACTAGCTAAGGAATGCTAACATTATTACAGAGCTGATGATTGAGTATAGAAAATCATATATGGTGAGAATGTCCAGTCTCCTTCCTACAATGATGTTGCTGCATTTCACCAGAATATCCATATCAATATACAGAAAATTCTTAATTAAATATCTAATTTTTGCCAGGGGCAGGGCTGTTCTGACAACATTTAGGTGAGTTACTAACAATTTATACAACCAAAATGTAATTTAGAACATGATTCCTATTTATACAGACTAAACACATTTATTTTAGTTTAAAGACCCATATTTCCTATCCACAGATTTATTGACTCCATAGTAACAATTTTAATTAATTAAAACCGTCAACTGTTGAGTGATTACCCAACAGACAGGTCTGTTCCAACCTATTTCGAAGAGCCCCAAACTGCCGGCACATGCCATCAGCTTCATGAACCAAACCAACTCGGTGTCTCATTACATACTGCGACTATGCTGTCAAGGAATCCCACCACCGTGATGCCGCCTTTACCATGCTTTATGCCTGCACCAACGCATTTTCAATCCCAGCCTAGAGCCACATATGAAATATATGCAGACCAATTAGAGAGAGGGGCACCCCATCCCATCTCTTCACGTTAGAATTGTCCCCCCTAACTCAAAATGTCTAATCACATTTTAGATATAGTCATATTCATTTGGCAAAGACAATGCCTTACCCTTCTCACCTGCCCTCTAAACTGGGCGAGGTATGACCTCAGACCACATAAGAGTCAAGTCCCAAAATTGCACAAAGCAATGCTCAATATTATGCTTCATAGCATGAATGAGATTGACCGTTCTACACCGGCTTACATGATTACCGCCACCAGTGCGTGCCCCAACAATGCAAGCACTAGTACTTAAATTTGCAGAAGCAATACCCCCTGCAGTGGTTCTCATTGAAGAGCCAGCAGACACCCTTGTGTTAACCAGCGGACTGGTGCGTGCACTGGGTACTCCTGGAAAGGGGGACGAGTGACGTACATCATCAACAGCAGCCTTAACACCTTAAGGATACAACTTCTGGAATAACATGGAATCATGACTGAATATTTCCGTCATGTGTCCTTAAGGGGATGAGCTGCCGTCCTGAACCCAAATGCCCATACCAGGACTAGAAACCATCTTCTTCTTAAACTGCTGGTCATACTGAAACCACCATTGCCCCCCATAAACCTTATATGCCCCTAAATTAAATCCAAATAGCTGAACAAAGCTGGAGCCCTCTCCATAAATCTTATTTGTAATACTTGCAAAAATCCAAAAACCCTGCAGCCAGTTCCCTAATGTGTGTAAGAGCTGCTTACCTTTGTCCGCCTCCACAGTATTTCCACACCACATTATATCCACCGACTCTCAGTCTGGAGGGACCAAGGACAAAAGATCCACATGTTCACCCTTAACCAATCCGTAACTTACACCGGGATGTGCATTCCCAGGGTGACAACTCGCAGCCCAGCAAACAGGGGTAAAACAACCCCATGCCAACATCTATACTATTTAAACAGCCCTAAGCAAGCACACTACTTCTCCCTGACCCCAGAAAACCTGCTCGCTTGCCTGCCTAGACACACTGATTTCTCTATGGCCCACTAGCGCACCCCAAGCTCAGTACTCACTCAAAGAAGCTGAAGGAACTGGCATAGGATCAGAAGCAGAGACCTCCTCCTTCAAACCAGATAGCACCTCTGCCGATCCTTTCTCTGCTTCCAGGCACCCTTGGTGGCCCATTTTGCAAAAACTGCAGTCCAGCACCACTTCACTCCTGACCTCCCGATCAGGCGTTGTTAGCCAGGCCTGTGACGGCTACGCTCTTCTGTGCACCACTGTCACGTACGCGCCTTGGGTGGGGACACTCCTAGAACATGTGCACACACAATGACAAAAGTTCTGCTTGTCCGCCATCAATTGCCAGTACAACCTGCAACAATATAGCAATGTATTTCAAGCCCACAAATCATATGCAGCAATTATGATTCCCCTTCCCAAGTTGTCCAGGGGAAAACTATACTGTGAGTGTCATTGCTGTGGTGCTCTGGTATACACTCAGACACACTTACAATATGAAGCGCCTAGAAAAAAGGGACATTAGGATGAAAAATAGGGACATTGGAATGGAAGAGAGTGATAGAGTGATTTGGACCCAAATTAGAGACTGCTCCAATTAAATAGGGACACTTGCAGGTACGCAGTTGCACTTCATGCATGTTAAAGTTATAGAGATTTTGTTGTCTCTCTCTATTGACTATTTCTCTATTACTATCTTTTATAGTGGTCCCAAGTTACCTGGGAACATGTTGTGAACAAAGTTGTGAAAGGTAACAAATTAGTTAAAGTTAAAGCACTGTGGAACAACGTTCTGCTAATCCTATGGTGGATGCTGACCTTCCCCCCTTCTCATGTTAAATAAGTTACTTTATAATATACTCAACTTGGAGATTCAGTTTTGGCAGAATTGGCATAATTCAGATGAATTTGGTCAGTTTGCCAATTCAACTAAAAAACTGCATGCTGCCACATGCCTTAAATGAACACTACAGGCACCAAAACAACTTAATCTAAATTAAGCTGTTTAGGGCCAAGCACACTCTTACCTCAAGGGGTTAAACCATTCAAGAAAAGTTTAACTCCGAAGTTGCCTTCAGCGCCACTCCCCCTTCCCCAACCCGTGCGTCATTTGGCCTGCTGGCACTCTGCGCTTCCTGAAAGTGAAATTTTAGAAGCAAGATGCTGCGCTGGGGGGAGCTGAGATCAGCTCTGGAGGCAACTTCAGGGTTAAACCATTCGAGAACGGCTTAACCCTTTGAGATAAGATTTTTCCCAGTGGCATCTAGCAACATAAGAATTTAATTTAGAGGAGATCAGAGCACTCTGGCAGAGCTTGTATAATGTGTGAAAACCCTTACAAGGCTAAATGGAGCCCTCAATGTGTGAAGATGTAATATTTTTTTTTTTTTTATGCGTTGTTGTGACTTGAATTTTGTTTGCCACATTATTTTACGAATTTTTTTTTTTTACATTTTTTTTTGGCCTTCTAATGGCAAGTATAATTTATTTATTTATTTTAACAGGTATTACATTAATTGGGTCCCCCTCACTCTTACTAGGGTGAGGGGTAGGTAGACTTTATTTTATTTGTGGGGTGGCTATAGGAATATTGACCCATATTCAAAGGGATGGACATAACTGTTTTAGGGGTAGACAATATTATAACGACATTCAGGGTAGGAGCTGGAGGGGCATCAGGTCCCCCATTGTTTATTAATATGATGCCCTCCTGCACTATTATCTATTTAGAGACAATGTCGCAGCTCAAGGGAACAGTATGTCCCCCGCGCCTTATTTATTTAATTAATTTGATTTAAATTGGCTCCACGATGGGTCCTGCACTACAGCCGCGCACCACGCAAGCCCAGATGCATCGAAGATTGTGCTCCTCGTGCACACGCTCGCAAGATTGCAGTGCCGGTCGGATCACCCAAGGTCTTGCCCTGCAGAACTCTGACAGTTCGCCCAGGTGATACAGGACTACAGCGGTGTCTCCAAAGGAGTCAGAGTGGCATGTGGTTCCCGCCATTTTGTACATGTTTGAATTTCAGTTGTGTGTTCAGCAGGTAGTCACGTGCACTCAGCAGTATGAGGGAGCCTCTAGGCGGTAGACCGGGATCACCGCCACTGTTCCAGGGGGTTAAGGGGGGGACATCACTCAGCAGCGCAGGTCAGGAACGGCGATCGTCCGTTTCTCCATTCCCCTGGATTCACCAGGCCACGAAGCCTGCTCTCATTGCGTCGGAAACGTGGACCTTCAGGGGCATCAAACACGCTCCAATGTTATCCCGATGGGTTCAGGAGCACCCTAAATTTAGTAGGGGTCAATGAGGAGGGTATACTTTTTGGCAAAAGTGTTTTTTATGAGAATATGTGCCGGAGTTCATATAAGAAGCGTGCCCCCACCCTGCCCCCAGTCACTAGTTTTTTTATTACTGTTCACTGTTTAGGAGATATGCCCACACTCACACACATGGCTTGGCAAGTGGGGCATAGTACTTGTACTAATGTGGATGTCACATTGACCCCAAAAGCTTTTTAAAATTGTTATTTCATTTGTTAATGTGCTAGTTAGCTAGCAAGTGCTGGCCAACTGCCACATGATTAGCACTCGTGCCACTGAGGTGTTAATAACAAATAACCTGGAGAGTGTTGGCCAAAGCTACCAAACATGGTAAGACCAGTACAGACGAGCAGCAATGTGTCTCAGTTCATGTTCTGGACCACAGCAAAGAAAAAGCAGAGGCTTCCTGCGCAGACCATGGCTCGATTTAATAAACTTTCCAAATGATTTATCTACATAAGTCCCCATTACAGTCAATAGGAATGTTTTCATTTAAACAATTCAAGTTAAGGAATTCAAACAACCAGAGATTTCCCCAAAATCCAGACAAATGACAATTCGTTTGAAACTGAATGCACAAGTCTAATGTGTTTATTAGCCCCTTTTTCTCAAAATATAGACCTTTATGCAATATGTATTTAGTATTACGTGAATATAATATATTTAGATACATAACATATGAGACAGAGAAACTCAATGCATTCATGATACAAGTATGCAGTTCTAATTTTCAATTCCATTGTAATATTTAACAGACTGTATTATGAATGATTCATGCCTTTAATGGATATAAAGAACAAGGCTCATGCAGGATGTACACCTATTTCACTCAGTAGGACCCATAAAAGTTTTCCCTCCTATTTTATTGTCTGCCATTGTGAGACACCGTTTGGTGCTTTAATGAAAATACTTACCTGAGTGTGTGGAATCTGAATAGACAACCTCTGAGCTTGCTGATTATGCGTTCAGTACTGCGGTTGTAGTCTCTCTGATGTTTTTAAGCAGATAACACCATGTGATCTCGAAAGGTCCATTGAAAGTCATGTGTCAGTATTTGCAGATAACACAAAACTAGGTGCGGTAATACAGTGTGAGCAGGATATTATTTCTCTATAGAGAGATTTGGATGACATAAGCGACCGTGCAAACATGAAATATAACAATCTCTTGTGTAAAACAAAATTTACAACAATGTTTCAAAAATAACTTTTTTTAAAGTGTTTTAATTCCGAGATGGTGGACATAATAGCAGCCCCACAACCCTCTCTGCTGCAACACTAAGAAAATAATACAGTCAGAAACAGCAAAACTCTGTTACAATGATTAGCCGATGCATTTGTAATTGTCATATTTATTAAATGATATTAAGGTTGAAGTTTGATTATTTCATAATGCAATGCATCTCTCTCTCTCTCCGGACTATATTCACTATAACATGGTAGGGATGATGCAGTGCGAATGCATCGGGATGGTACCAAATTATCTTTGCCAACTGGGAAGGGGGCGTTCTGACTTAAAGTGAATTACTTTGTGAAAAGGCTAAACTAGTGTGAACTAAACTGGTTGTGCAGTGAGGGCTTAAAGCTATAGAGAAAAAAAACAGCCTACCGGGGTTTCTTCACCAATTAGAACAGATTTAGTCATCCTGAGGTGAGGCAGATTTTACCTCCATAGTTTTTTTTTAGCATTACCTACCCGCAAGGCTTTAAATATAATTTTTTCCAACAGATTCTTTGGAGTGTTCTTGTAGAAGTGCATGACTTGTTAACTTGTGGGATAGGCTAACTCAACTGCCACTAATCTAGTCTTATACAAAACGCCGCTCCCCAGCGCAGAAGGGTTAAAAATCCTTTATTCACTTGAATCCATCGCCAATGTCCCTCTGCATTGGTTCAGTCTCCGCCTGCGCTCCTCCTCCACTGACATCAGCTGACATTGGGGACATAATGCACATGTGCAGCGAGTACCACAATCGCATTAGGACAACCCCATAGGAAAGCATTGAATCAATGCTTTCCTATGGGGTTTAAGCTGATTCTGGATGTCCTCATGCATAGCGTGAGGATGTCCAGCTTCAGTTAGGCAACCAATAATCACTTAAAGACCCGGAAGCGTCTCTCGAGGTAGAGTTAAGCCTGTAATGTAATTATTGCAGTTTCTCAATATCTGCAATAATTACCATTGCAGGGTTAAACTAACAGGGGCACTGCACCCAGATCATTTCAATGAGCTGTAGTTTCCCTTTAACTTTTCACTGTATTAAATAACTTTGCTCTGCATGGAGTTCATTCATTTTGTTTTATTCACAAATCAGGAGTTAACTTTTGGTTTTTGTTAATAAAATCAATAAAATAAAATATAAAAAAAACACTAGACTGAATGATTTATTGATGTAGAAACTGTTGATTAAATCGTTTGCGTTTTCTCCAAACAGTTTTAAGCAGTTTCGGGGGGGAAGCCATTTGTTGGCACCCTAAACACATCCTCTATGCTGAAGAAGGAATAACGAGAAACATCGTCTTCTCATTATCTGTCCGAAATATTTGAACTTTCTTAGTGCTCTGTGCAATAAAGAGCTAAAAGCACTCTGGTATTGGAAGATTGCAGTTAACCCTTTAAGCAATGCTAAAATTAACACAGGGTTCAAACAAACTGGATACACTTTACCCAAAGCTTCCTAGCACAGTTATTATAACAATAAGCTGTATAGTTATTGGAGTGTACCTTACATTTTCTTATAGTCTGGTATAAATTTTTCCAATACCTGAATTGAGCTGGAAACAACTGAGTGAATTATTAATACTTTTAAAGTACATAGACATTAACACTGTGTGAAGATTACAGTTGTGTACTGCATAATGGGACAGGGAGAATTTGTCCCTTTGGTCTTTTGTCTTAATTAGTAGAATTTACCTGGAAGTTAGTGTGCGAACAATGGGTGGGCTTTGTGTGTGGGGGTATTGAGTATACACAATCCAAATTGAATCCCTTGGAAGTCTCATCGTTCCTGTGTTATTCATTTCTTTGAGGGTGATTTAAAGATCAATGGGTCTTTTCCAAAATTATGGGTGTAGAGACATGTCACATTGGTAGGGTCACATCTACAAATTTCACAGTTTTACTGTATATTTACCAACACAAGTTTAGTTGTACAATAAAATGTAGAATCAACATTTTCTACAGAGCTATACAGCAGGGCTACAATACATATATTGAAAGCTCTGTAGAATATGTTAGTTTTACATTTTATTGTACAACTAAACATGTGTTGGTCAATATACAGTCAAATTATTTATATATATATATATATATATATATATATATATATATATATATCAAAAAACAGGATGCTTGGCACTCTCCTTTAAATAATAAATAAGAACTAATAGCCTGGGTGCTATATCCCAAACGTCAGAAATATACAAAAATCAAAAATGAGGATGCACTCACAGGACTTGGTTAAGGAGAAAAAAAATGACTTTTAATTATTCCATGTGAAATGTACAGAAAAATCAATCGATGTTTCGACCCTGACAGGTCTTTTTCAAGATCAATAAATACAAATCATAACAGTGTTTATATAAAAAAATATGCCATAAAGCACTTACCAAGTGGAAATGTGAAATCAAGTGTCTCTGTCCGTTACTACCCGGAAGTGAATGAAGACCGGCCGTGACGTCACACAATTCAGACGCACGCCGGAGTAGAGTGGTTGCCATGGGGATAGTGCAAACACCTAAACGATCGGGTACAAGTTAGATGACATGGAGGAGAATTGTTAAAGAGTTATGTGTAGGGAGATAGAACAAAGTGAGTGCTAAGTGAAACAGTGAAATCAGTGCTTCAATGAGTGTCTATACCACACAAAGTGATGAACCATGTGAAAAAGCAGTGTTAGACTATATCCAAACACTGATAATTATACGCATAACAAGGTCACAAAATTCATGTTATACTAGTAATCTTGCTAATCAACTAGATACAAACGATCATAAACACAGTGTAACATTCAGATATATTAAGTTACATAAATGCAAGCTGAGCACTACCCAAAAAAGGGAGGAATAGCATGGATCGCAGCCAACTGTTAAATAATAATAAAAAAACATGTAACTTGCGTCCCAAAGTGATACTAAAACCCAAATACAGCAAATAATGCAAAAAGAAAAACGTCGACTCTATTGGTTTATAAATATTTGCAGAATAAAACAATCTTACCACTATTATGAGTCCTGTGAGTGGTCTCCATCGAGGTATTTTATATACATATATACATACATACACTCTAAGAAGGGCACTCACTGGTCTTCTTAATTTGCAAACTTTATTCACCAATGTTCAGTAACTTTACAGTATCATCAACGTTTCAGTCCTCATCCGGATTTTCATTATAAAAGGCAGGAGGAACCAAATGTGAGTACAGCAGCGTGTTTTTTTGTATTATTTTTTTCATCTGTTGCTTTATTGAGCAATTACAAATTCACACAACGTTCCAGTCAACGTTTCAGTCTGTAAAAGACTTTTTTCAAGACAATTGTGTATGTGAGATGGATACCTTATATACAAAAAATGCAGTGATCCTATTTGGAGGTGAACAGGTGAAATGTAACAATGGATCAGAGTGATGTCATTAATGACGTAAAAATGTTTAAATTACGTAATAAATTAAGGTTAACCCTATGTGTACCTGGTATGTGAAAATATTGTCAGTGTAACTTCCATCATGGAGTTATGGCAAATAACTGTACTATATTAATGCATTCTGTAAAACATAGCTCAATCATATATTATCTTCTCGGTAAAAAACAATATAATGAGTTCTTCTCATTTAAACCAGATGGTGATAATGTTTCCAACGTGTATATCCAGAAAGCCTCACGTCTGAGTAACAGGTTATCACGATCTCCTCCTCTGGGTGAGATGGGTATGTGATCTATTCCCATACAACGAAGTGAGGACAGCCTATGTCCCATCTCAAGGAAATGCCGGGCGACTGGAGTGCTTGCAGTGCCGCTCAGTAGTGCTGACCGTATAGTAGACCTGTGACCCCGCATGCGATCTCTTAGGTCATTAGATGTCTTGCCCACATAAGTGAGACCACAGGGGCATATAATTCTATACACAACATGTGTGGTCCTGCACGTAATCTGGTGTTTAATTGTGTACACCTTTCCAGATTTTGGGTGACGGAAGGTTTTACCCGGTATCATAGAATTGCACGCCAGACAGTTCAAACAGCGAAAACATCCTGCTGTTGTCACTTTCTGTAATGACTGTGTTGTGGACACTATATGCATGCATCAAATAGTCTCTTCTATTCTTCTATGGACTGGGGGAGAGGAAAGGTTTGTTAACATGATGCACACATTGAATTCACTTCCTACACCTATGAGATTCACTTACCAGTCGAGTATGACTAATATCAATTTCCTGGATCTTCAAATTTTCATCTCAGGCAATCGCTTGGGCTATGCTCTGTTTTCTAAATCAACGGATAGGAACACTATTCTGCATTCTACAAGTTTCCATCCAATCTAGACCACATGAATTAAATCCAGGCTGGGATTTAAAATAATAAAAACAATCTGAACTATTTGCACACTGCCAGCACTAGCAACAAGCAGGCAAACAGTTACAAATCTTTGGGAGGGAGATGGTTAATTATGTGGCAACTGGCCAACGCTTGCAAGCCAGCCGCCACATTTAAAAAGTTTACAAAAATCAATAATTAAGTAAATAAATAAAGTAAGTAAATAAAATAAAAATAAAAATAAGTCCCTACCTAACCCTAATAATAATGAGGAGAGAAACAATAAATCTAAAATATGTTAGAAACATAGAATTTGATGGCAGATAAGAACCATTCAGCCCATCTAGACTGCCCAATTTTCCAAATAGTAAAATTTTTTATAAAGTCTTAAGCCCCAAAAATGGCTAAATAACATTCCATAATAACCAACGCAACTTATTAAAATTACAAAAGGCCCAATCGCAAAAAAGAAATAAAATTATCCATCATCGCCCATAAAGAACTTGAAGAACTTGCAACAGAATGAGCTCTGATAGTAGGGAAAGCCGCTATCACACGCTTTACCACACTATCGCATAACATGGGAAAATTTGCAATATGACCAAGAGTGCTCTGATTGGTTGGCTAGAAAGCCAACCAATCAGAGCACTCTGACATCTAAGTATCAAGAGGAGTCTCACTTAATGGAACGATGTCGCCAGGGGTCTCCAGACGCTATAACCACTTCAATGAGATAAACACTTACAGTGCCTACAGCAAGCATATCAAACTCGCGGCCCGCGGGACGCATTCGGCCCACAAGGACCATCTCTGCGGCCCGGTGAGCCGCGAGTACATGCTCCTGTTATAGCAGAGTAGGCACCTGCTTTCCACACATTGCAGGTGCCTACTCTGCTCGTTTACCCGGCCGGGGAGGAGAGGTTCCTGACGGCCAGCGAGGGAGCTCAGCCTGCCTGCTCCTCACTGCTCCCTTGCGTGCGCCGTCTGAAGTGAAGCCGGGTGCCGGAATATGATGTCATATTCCGGCATCACTAAACCACGCGAGGGAGCAGTGATGAGCAGGAATGGAGATCTCCATACAGAAGATCCCCACACCAGCTCCATAAGGAAAGGAGCAATAAATAAAAGTATGTGTGTGTCTCTGTCTGTGTGTGTGTATCAGCAAGTATGTGTGTGTCTGTGTGTGTGTCTGTCAGTGAGTATGTGTGTGTGTGTGTCTGTCTCTCAGTGAGTGTGTGTGTGTTTCTGTGTGTGTGTCTGTGAGTATGTGCGTGTGTCTGTCAGTGAGTATGTGTGTGTGTGTCTGTCTGTGAGTATGTGTGTCTGTCTGTGAGTGTGTGTGTGTGTGACTGTCAGTGTGTGTGTGTGTGTGTCTGTCAGTGAGTATGTGTGTGTGTCTGTCAGTGTATCTGTATGTGTGTCTGTCAGTGTGTGTCTGTCTGTGAGTATGTGTGTCTGTCTGTGAGTGTGTGTGTGTGTGTGTGTGTGACTGTCAGTGTGTGTGTGTGTGTCTGTCAGTGTGTGTGTCTCAGTGTGTGTGTCTGTCTGTCTCTGTCAGTGAATATGTGTGTGTATCTGTCAGTGTGTGTGTGTGTCTGTCTGTCAGTGTGCGTGTCTCTCTGTCTGTCTGTCAGTGTGTGTGTATGTCTGTCAATGTGTCTGTTTGTATGTGTGTGTGTCTGTCTGTGAGTATGTGTGTGTCTCTGTCAGTGAGTATGTTTGTGTGTGTCTGTCTGTGAGTGTGTGTGTGTGTCTGTCAGTGTGTGTGTCTGTCAGCAAGTATGTGTGTGTCTGTCAGCGAGTATGTGTGTGCCTGCCAGTGAGTATGTGTGTGTCAATGTGTCTGTATGTGTGTGTCTGTCAGTGAATATGTGTGTGTCAGCAGGAGGATCAGATTTGGCACAGAGTGGTAGAGGGAGGTGTTGTGGTTTAGTAGAGGGGGGCGCTGGGGTTTAGTAGAGGGGGGTGCTGTGGTTTAGTAGAGGGGGTGCTGCGGGCGGGGAGTTATACTGTACTCTATTTTATGAAAATATACAGTATTTTTTTTTTTGCGGCCCACATAAACTTAAACCTTGTTTATGTGGCCCATCCAGACTTTGAGTTTTACATGCTTGTCCTACAGTGTTCATTTAAAGACAAACTAACATTCAATTAACAATGCAACTGAAGCAGGGAAATGCTGATGTCCAAGTATGGAGCTCATTGGACAAGTAGGACCGGCTGTCTGTATTATAGGTTTTCTCCAGTCTGAGTGCAAAAACCATCAACAGCAGCACAGCAAGCTAGTGGCCCTGGGTGATACTGCATCAGAACAGGGATACCTTAAAAATAAAGCAAATGTATGGAATTATAACATGTCAGACCATTTTTAGTCAGGCATTAGAATGAGCAAAATATCAAATTTAAAAGGGATACCATAGTGACAGGGATACAAAGCTGTATTCCTGGCACTATCGCTCCCCATGCCTCCTCTCTCTCTTGCACCCACCCCCCCTCCTCCCGGTATATAAAGGGTTAAAACCTCTTTATTTACTTACCTTATCCCAGCGCCAATGTCCGTCGGCACTGGACCGATGTTTCGCCCCCTCCGACGTCCCACAAAAATCTGACTCTGAAGGTCCTCATGCACAGCGTGAGAATGTCCAGCATCAAATACTGGACCAAAGGTCCATTTCAATTCAGGAAGCCCTCTAGTGGCTCTCTGGTAGCCAGCCACTGGAGGCAGACTTAGAGCTGCAATGTAAACTTTGCAGTTTCTTTGGAACTGCAATGCTTAACTTTGCAGCACTAAGTGCAAAAGGGACACTGCACCCAGACTACTTCAATTAGCTGAAGTGATCTGGGTGCCTACTGTGTCCCTTTAAACAAATATGACATTCCAGGACATAAGTAAAAAACTTATTTTATTATAGAAACATTACAAATCAATAGAACAAACAAGAAGTACAAGACCCCATTAATAAGTGAATTTTTAATTATTAATTTCAGATTTTTTTGTCATACATGAGCTCTGGTGGATGGTTGTGCTTTTGCACTGCAGCTGATTTCCACACCTGTGTTCCCATTATAAAAAGACATAAAAAAAGACATGTGGAAAGCATCTGGAGCGCAAAAGTGGAGCCATGACAGTTTTGTAGCCTGCCAGTCTGCTTGTTTAATTGTCATTGTAATTTGCAACGATACACTCTTTTCTGTTATGCTATCTCATATCTTAGCTTTCCCTTACTTAAACAAGTATACTTATACCTGCCTAAATTCAGAATGCTTGGCACTCATTCAGAATCCTAGCCTCAATATTACAATGCCCCTAACTGTACATGTGTTTTCCATAACCTTTCTCTGTTAGCAAAAATTTTATTGCATCTTACCAACTCCCATATGGTCAAAACAATGACAGCAGTCCTTATCTGTTGTCTATAGAAATACACATTTTTAAATTATAAAACATAAAAAATCTTATCAAAAAAGAGGCAAAAATCTGTTCCAACACTATCAAGTATAACATATAATAGAAAAACAAATAAATAAAAATCACGAAGATACTCTATTAAACAAAAAGCACATGCACCCTAGCTATGACTGCCTGACTTAATCAAGAAGTCTATTGCAGCAGTCCAAGCAAAAAAACACACACAATGAAAGGTGAGAAATTATATAAAAAAAACTTAAAAGCAAGACTAAGCCAAGGACTGCTGTCATGGCCTTTCACACAAGTCAGTTAGTAGGAGGAGTAAGTAGCTTCTAACTTTTAGGCTTGGCTAGTTGCAAAGCCTATAGCACAGGATCTCAGGTTCAGCATCACAAACAGCTTATAGGCCTACAAAATGCAAGCAGCATTGCAAGCAGCATTGCCACAAACACGCGATACCACAAGCCACACACCCCCTACACATACATTGCTACAGATATGCAACATTACAAGCCTTATTATTGCAAACATACAACACATCAAGTAGCATTCCCACACAGTGGCATCTCTAAATTTCATCCATGTCTCTGTTCCCCTCCCTTTCATGTATTTTCTCCCCCCTTCTTCCATGTTGTGGATGTCATTTGTATTGTATGCAGTGTGTGTATTGAATACAGTGTGTGTGGTGTGTGGTGGATGCAGTGTCTGTGTTTGTGTAGTGTAACTAGTGTTTGTGTGGTGGATGTCTAGTGGATGCAGTGTCTGTGTAGTGTATGTAGTGTATGTGCATGTAGTAGTGTCTGTGTAGTGCATGTAGTGTTGGATAAGTGCTGGGGGCTGAGCCTTTTTAATTAAATTGGGCTTAACACCCCTCCCTTCCTCTTACCTGTGGGATGGAAGGGGGGGACAGTGTGTAGGAAGGTGACCATAAAGGGGGCAGTGTATAGGAAGGTAACAGTATAGCAGGGCAGTGCGTAGGAAAGTGGTGCAATGTTTAAAAAAGTGTTGGGGCAGTGTGTTGGAAGGTGACTGTGTGGGGGGCAGGGTGTAGGAAAGTGACAGTGTTGGGGCAGGGTGTGGGAATGACAGTGCGGATGGGCAGACTAACAGACAACATGATACACACTCAATGGCAGTCACACACTGTTTAACTAACACACACATTCACTGACAGACACACACTGACACGAACACACTCTCAGAGACACATGCATTCACTGACATACACACACTCACTAACAGACACACACACACATTTACTGACACACTCACTTACAGACACACACCTACTGGCAGATAAACACTGACAGTCACACACACATTCAATGAAAAACACACAGAAGTCACTGACAGACACTGACTCTCACTGAATTGATATACACACATTCATTGACAGACACAGATACACTCACTGACACACACATTCACTGACAGGCACATAAACTCTCAATGACAAACACAGACTCTCACTGATGTGACAGACACAGACAGACACATACAAATTCACTGACAGACACACACACATTCACTGGCAAACACACACAAATTCTCTCACACACTCACAAATTACTAATATTATTATTTTAATTTGTCCACCCAGCCTCCCTACCTTTGGGAGAGCTGGAGTGGATCTGTACCTGGGGTCCAGTGGGGCTGCTGTGAGGCGGGCAGCTGTGAGCAAATCAGAGGCAACAGGCGAGCTGTAATCCTCCTGCTCTGCTCCCTCTCGGATGTCTACTGATGGCAGGAGCCAGAATATGACGTCATATATCACACACACAGGCTTACAGTCACACAAAGGCAGAGTGACACAGAGGCACACAGTCACACACACAGAGGCACACAGATACAGTCACACACACACAGTTACAGTCACACAAAGGCAGACAGTCACACACACAGAGTTACAGTCACACATAGGCACACAGCCACACACTCAGAGGCAGTCTTACACACACAGTTACAGTCACACATAGGAACACAGCCACACACACAGAGGCAGTCATACACACACAGTTACAGTCCCACATAGGCATACAACTACACAGACAAAGACAGTCACACACACACAGTTACAGTCACACATAGACTTACAACCACAGTGACCGAGGCAGGCGGCCACACACATACACACACAAACACACACACACACACACAGAGGCAGACAGTCACACACACACAGTTACAGTCACACACAGGCACACAGCTACACACAGAGGCAGACAGTCACACACACACAGTTAGAGTCACAGATAGGCACACAGCCACACACACACATACACATGCTGACAATCTCACACACACACACATTTACAGTCACACATAGGCACAGCCACACACACAGGGGCAGACAGTCACACATAGTAACAGTCACACACAGGCACACAGCCACACAGCCCCACAGCCCCACACAGAGGCAGTCACACACACACAGAGTTACAGTCACAGATAGGCACACAGCCACACATATAGAGGCAGACAGTATCACACACAAACACACATTTACAGTCACACATAGACACACAGCCACACATACACACATACAGAGGCAGGCAGTCTCACGCACAAACACACATTTACAGTCACACATAGACACACAGCCACACACACGCACACACAGGGGCAGACAGTCACATACACACAGAGCCACACACATGTAAGCAGACACACACACACAGATACAGTCACACACAGGCAGACAGTCAAACACAGAGGTCGGACAGCCACACACACACAGAGGCGGACAGCCACACACACACAGAGGCAGACAGCCACACACAGAAGCAGACAGTCTCACACACAAACACACATTTACAGTCACACATAGACACACAGCCACACACACACAGGGGCAGACAGTCACACACACAGCCACACACACGTAAGCAGACACACACACACACACAGATACAGTTACACACAGGCAGACAGTCAAACACAGAGGTCAGACAGCCACACACACACAGAGGCAGACAGCCACACACAGAGGAAGACACACACACACTCTTATCTTTGTCCATTATGGGCTGGAGCACAGGCCGTGCAGCTCCTGGAGTTTGGATGTTGGGGAAGCAAGGACTCCTTCCTGCTTTCCCCTTCCTGTGCAACAGTTACCCCGATGTCTTCTGGGCCCCTTTAGCCCTGCCCCTCCATCATTTGCCCTCCCTCCCCCCACAGGGTAAGCCCTGCACCCGCTACCATGTGTTTTGTTTTTTTTAATAATCCCAGGTGGAGGATTCATTATTTTTCACGAGGGATTATTAAAAAAAAAAAAAACATTGTCCTTGATACAGTGCCTGCATTTGGGGGAGGGGGGCATGACATGAGGTATGGGGGGTCCATGGCACCCTCTGGCCCCCCCAGCGATGCCACTGACATCGCAGGGTTCCACAAACGCACAATACACACAGACCACTTCTACCTGCCTACACCTACATATGCAACACCACAAACAGTAAACAGTATAAGCAAGACCCTCTCAGAGCCCTGTCTCTCGTCCTCTGTTGTCCTATTTATGGGGGCACCAGAGACAAGAAACCAGACAAGCATGGTGTAGCGGAGAGGTAGTATAATCCACAGTATCTCCGCTGAGTAACAGGATGTAGCGTTACTTACCTTAACCGGGGGCCGGTCGCGGTCCTCTCTTCAAGCCGCGCGCGGTCCTGCGGCTGCACGAGCCGCGCGCGGCTCATCCGACTGTTTTAGATGGAAGGCGGGCGTGTGCGGTCACGTGTCCCGCTGAAACTAAGAGCGCGCCGCGAGTCTCGGGCGCGCTCTTAAAGAGACAGTGGGAGCCTAATTGCCAAAAGGCTCCCATTGGCTCCTGTCATACCACACTCCCTATACAATTACCTATAGGGGGTGTGGAAGTGACAGGAGCCAATCACTTTGGTTTAAAAGCTATTTAACTTACCTTTTTCCCTTAGCTCGTTGCCCTATCGTGGTTTCTGTTTCAGTTCCCTTTAGCGCTTGTGGTGTTCAGTTGTGTTTTCTCGTATTGACTTTGGCTTCGTATTCTGACTTCGTTTTCGCTTTATCCTTATCTGTACTGTTTGCCGGCTTGCTGTTTTCCGTGTACCAGACCCCGGCTTGTCCTAGTTTACGCTGTCTCTCTGTGCCCTTGACCTCGGTTTGTTCCTGGCTCTGTCTCCTCTCATATACGTCGAGTCCGCCATTCTAAGGTACGGTAGACGTATCTCTCCTCTGTATTTGCCTCTGTTTAGCTGGATCCTGCGTGTAGGGGTATATTCTCGTTACATTACGATAGGGACATGGACCCCGCAGATTTAGCTCAACAGATGGCGTCCCATGAGGCAAGATTTGTAGAGCAGGATCACCGTATGGATCAGATAGCTCAGGCTCTCCAGACGCTCCTAGCTAGAACCGTTCCAGCAACCACACCTAACCCTCCTACGCCCCTTCTCCCTGAAGTGTCTACTTTGCCTAATACTTCGGCCCATTTAACACCTCCTCCTAGGTATGGAGGGGACTCTAAGACTTGCAGAGGGTTTATTAATCAAATTGAATTCCACTTCGAAATGTATCCACGTTCATTTCCCACAGAGAGGTCTAAGATTGGGTTCTTTATGCACCAACTTACCGATAAGGCACTTGAGTGGGCAAATCCTATTTGGGAAGCTAATGGACCTATGGTACATGATTTCAACAGTTTTCTTACGGCTTTTCGTAGAACTTTTGACACAAAGAAAAGGTCAAAGAATGCCGCGAGAGCATTAATGAGAATTAAACAGGGTTCTAGGTCTGTGGCTGATTATGCTATTCAGTTTCGCACTCTTGCTTCGCAGGTAGATTGGACCAACAATGTGTTAACTACTGCCTTTATGGAAGGTTTGTCAGATACGATATTGGATGAGGTAGCAGCTAAGGAGCTTCCTATTGCCTTAGAGGACCTTATCGATTACCTCATTGATATAGATAATAGAAT